TGTCCCTGCTTTTCCAACTTGCCATCACAATTAGCAGCAGGTGAGCTGCTAAACAAGCCTTCAATCCAAACAGCAGAATCAGCTAGCCACATATGCACTAAGTAAAACAGGATCATTAGCTAATGATTTTAATGCCCTCAAATTATGCTCCCTCAAAAACAATGTGTCTAAGCAAAATCTTCTAAGACCACCTGAGAGTTGGTGGCCGTCTTCACAGGATGTACCTATTTGAGCTCTTGATGTTCACTCGATGTTTTCAAAATAAGAAATTTATGAACATGAATAGAAAAAGAATAATACAATAAGAGTCTTGGCACCAAATTTGAAAACATTATAACAACAATTTACAACACACAACAGGCTAATATACTAATCAATGGCGAACAAACAGGTCCAATAAATATAGAAAAAGGTGTCAGACAGGGCTGCCCTCTCTCACCTCTTCTTTTCATTTTTGCCCTAGAATCACTCTTAACACTCTTAGACAAAATTCTGAAATTAGAGGAGTGAGGGTCAAATCAGAAGGATATAAACTACAAGCGTTTGCTGACGATATGGTTTTCTTTTTGGAGGAACCCATGGAAAAAGGATATAATCTAATAAAAGAATTAGAATGATTTGGCGCAGTGGCAGGATTAAAAATTAATAGAAAAAAGATGAAATTAATGACCAAAAATTTAGCAGAAAACCAGAAGGAAGAATTAGAAGCAATGATGGGGATACAGGTAACAAAAAGGGTCAAATATTTAGGAATATGGTTAACACCACAAGGTAAATCACTCAAAGAGAACAATTATGATAAACTACTTCAACAAACAAAGAAAGATTTAGAATCCTGGAATAAGCTGCAGCTCTCCTTATTGGGCAGGATTGCCTCGATTAAAATGAACATATTACCAAAATTTCTTTATTTATTCCAGACAATCCCAATTAAGTTGCCAAAAAATTTTTTTTGAAGAATTAAATAAGATCACACTTAAATTTATTTGGCAGGGGAAAAAACCCAGGATCAATGTAAAGGCCTTACAAGATGCGAAAAGTAGAGGGGGTCTAGCTCTTCCAAATTGGGAATTATATTATTCGGCAGCTATCCTATTATGGTTAAAAGACTGGGTGAACTTACTTAATAAAAGAATGTTAGCATTAGAAGGGCATGACCTCCAGAGAGGGTGGCATGCCTTCTTATGGGAAGTGGGGAAACCCAAGCAGTCTTACTTTCATAGACACCTCATTAGGGACTCATTATTAATTAATTGGAAAAAAATATGCAAAAAACACTATCTAAAAATTCCGATCTGGCTATCAACAATGGAGGCAATGGTACACCCCAATAATTTGGACATAACAAAAATGATTAAATATAAAGATCTATTAGATCCACAAGGAAAATTAAAAACTCGACAAGAATTACAGGAACAGGGATTTAAAATTGATCAGTGGTTATATATACAAATCCATAGCAGATACAAACAAGATATAAAAGATTTTGGAATTTATAACAAACTGCAGTATTTAGATAAAATTTTACTAGGATCAAACAAAAAGAACATATCCAAATTCTATAAATACTTACTGGAAGTACAATTAGAACAAGAGATAGTCAAAGGGAACATGATAGCCTGGAGCAGGAATGTCGGAAGAAGTATTACATTATCAGAATGGGAAAAGATTTGGAATATTAAGATTACAAAATCGGCAGCATATAAAGAAAATACATACAAAATGTTTTATAGATGGCACTTGCCCCCTTCGAGGTTGGCGAAAATGAACCCAAACACGAGTCCAAAATGCTGGAAATGTAAAAGCATAGAAGGAACCTACTTTCATATGTGGTGGTCTTGCAAAGAAACCCAGAAATATTGGCAAAAAATCAGAAAATGGTTGGAGGAGATAACCAAAGAACAAATCGAATACAAACCAGAGTTCTTCCTACTAGGGATCTCCGATAAACATTTACCCAAAAAGATGAAATATGTAACAATTCATATCCTAACTGCGGCCAGATTAGCATTCGCCCAGTGTTGGAAATCACCCTATACACCTACAGAACAAATGGTCATCCAGAAAATATGTGATTGTGCAGAAATGGATAAATTAACTATAGCACTTAAAAACAAAGAGCCTTCAACATTTTACGATAATTGGAACTCTTGGTATAATTGGTTAGTCCAGAGATAAACTGCTTAATGGACAATGGGTAATTTAAGCATAGATATCGATAAGATGTGTGTATTCAAATTAAGGTAGGAGAATTGGATCTTGCAGACTGTCAAAAAGGATATTGTCTGTTTTTAAACGCATCCTTTTCTTTTTCTTTTTCTTTTCTCTTTCTCTTTCTTTGTTTCTTTCTTTTACATCTCTTCTTCTCTTCTCTTTCCGGTTCGTAAGACTGAGTGTTCTTTTTTTGTTTTTTTCCCTTTTGTGTATGCAATGTCGATATGTTTTTAATTGTAAATTTAATAAAATTTATTTATAAAAAAATAAATAAAAAAGAAAAAAAGGAAAAAGAAGCTTGTGAACATAGTGTGCTTTAAAGGATGCTGACTGCGGTTGTGAGCAAGATGGCTATTCCCATGGTCTCCCAATGCTCAAAACCCATCGGGAATTGCTGTCTTGTGGTCTTTTGGGGAGGAGCAACTGTTTGGCATGCATATAGGCAATCTTCCACCCTCTCCCTGTCCAGAGAGAGTCTGAAGTATAATGGAATGACCTTGGGGAATGAAAGGAAAAGATGCTGCCAAGAAAGAATCAGGCGAGACAGAAGCCCCCAGTGGCTTCATGGTCAGGGAAAGAAATCTAGGCATTACATGTCCTAAAGGTTCAAACATTAAATCTGTACTTTCAGATTTGCAAGATTCTGTTAATATAGCTTATAATATAATAAAATTAATTCTATCATGTTTCATGTCTGGTTTATCAGGGAAAGCTGACATGAAAAGCCAGTCACTAGCATGGTTGTTAGCTGTGCTTTTTGGAGACGGATCTTCAGTACACTATTTCATCCTCTGGAACTCTGCCACAGTAATTTTTTTGCCAGAAAATAAAGCACTTGTGGCATGCTCAAAACAAAACCTTAGAAAAGATTATCATATGTTTACACATTTATAACAGAAAAAGAAAGCATTAATGATAAGCAATGCAATCATTTGCTGTAGTCCACCAATTATTACTTTTCCAAGAGAACCATGGAAACAAATATTGACATTCTTTTAACACCAGTTAAAGCTGTAATAGCTGGTAGAGACAGTGTTCTAATTGCCCTCTTAGAGAGAAGCAACAAAGAGGGAACAATAACCAATGGAACAGCTTCAGAAGTTGTAGATGCTCCATCCCTGGAAGCTTTTAAGAAGAGATTGGACAGCCACTTGTCTGGGATGATATAGGGTCTCCTGCTTGACCAGGGGGTTGGACTAGAAGACCTATAAGGTCCCTTCCAATTCTGTTATTCTGTTCTGTTATTATTGTTTTGAAATATACATCTCTTTTAATGGTGGAATCTGTTCTGATTCCTCTGTTAAAGGAATCAGAATCCAGAATCTGCAACTGGGCATATGAGCAGAAATGTCACAAATTTCTTCTTACGTATCACACTTCAGAACTAACTCACCTTAAACAAGAACCTGTCCAATAGGGAGATTTGAAAACGTTACACAAATTAAAGAAGAGAAACAGAACTATAGATGTAAATAGCACAAGATGCAACATCTTAGCTCCTATAGAGAAATCCCTTTGTAAAGGAATTTCATCATACATGAAATCATATTAACAATACAATGTCACTGGACACAGTAATTCATAATATAAAAATCACATATAAAGAAAGTGCAGAATTCTGTACTTCTGGGGCAAGAGGGGCCTGAATCATTTATAAGAATCAACAGCAGAGCACAGAGAAAGAAAACAATTTTGTTTTAATACCATGCATTTAACCTGCAGAACAATTAACTTATGACTTATTGAGGTCTAATACACAATAATAAACCCAACCCACAAACCCTATATTAGAAGTTTAGGAGACAGAAGGCAATTATGTCATTTACTCTGCCTAGATAAGCATGAAGATGACAAACAATTTGTAGAATACTTTTTTTAATTGTAAACCAATATTGCATGATGCAATGCAACGAGGCTTTAAAATCTGCCTCACCAAGATACTATTGTTGTCTCAGTTTTCTTCCATTTTGGATGGTGTGTCTGACATTAACTCCACCATTCTAAAAGGCCAACAGATTGTAGAAAGGCTGCTATAAGTTGACATACTGGCTAAGCTCTTGTTTATTTAGCCAAGTTTTAGTGAATAAATCACAAATAACTAATACTCTGAGAGCCCATGGTTTACAAACTACCATAGCTGGGTTTACACAATATATTAAGTCACAAAAATATGCCTTTGCTTTTGTGTGCTATGTGAACCCAGTCATTGTTGGGTCTAGATTTTAATTTTTCAGAAGCGTTGACAGCAGATTGCTGTTGTTCATTTTTCTTTTTTTAAAAAAAGGAATTGACAGATGTGAACAAGGACAGAGACTCAAAAGCAAATAGTTCCCACAGCATAGGGTCATTTGTATGTATTATTCTTCTGCTGATTTCCAAGTGTAATTATGTTCTAAAACCCTTTTTTTTTAAATGGAAAGTAGTATTAGTTACTCAGAGCACACAGGCAAAAAACCACAAGCCCTTTTGGGAAATACAGAAATGATAGGATTACACAGGTTAAAAAAGCCTGCTGAAAGCCAGCAACAACGAGGTTGCTCTCAAGCCAGCGCAGGAGTTTATGAAAGACAATGAAAGACAATTTATGAAAGACAATTCTGGACAATGCTACTATCTGAAGCCTGAACTAAGAAGTACTGAGATCAATGCTTAATGAAGCAAATAGCGACATATGCCCACGAGTTCCTACTTTTAATTGGAATTTTTTTCACTAGACTTGTAGGCACAAGCTGCTTCCTTTGCCTGAGTCACCTTTAAGTGAGAGCAAGAATAGTAACAGCTTTTACCTGCGTCAACCGTTGGTAGTGTTAAATCAAATGCTTCATCTTCCCCAGGGTTTGGCTTCAATAGAAAGCTTTCTGGAGTTATGGCATCAGGCAGGTCCAGCAGGCTGCTTTCCTCAGATTGGGAACTTGAGGCTCTTTGGCTTCCATTCCATTCCATCACTGAAGCAGAGACCAAAGAGTTTTGTTTTATTTTGAAATGTCTATCTCATCTTCCACGTTTGGTATCAAAGTACTTGAATGCACTAACATCACAAACAAATCACACTGAAAACACTTCAACACAAAAAAGATTGCAGATAACTATGAGTCTGTAACTATAAGTCAGCGGCATCAAAGTCAAGGCCCATGGGGGTGCTTCGATCTGGCTCGCGGGGCTGCCCTGGAAACAGTGAAGGACCGGCCCGCAGTGCCTCTGCCAGCAAAAATGGAGCTCAGGAGTGCCTCAAGCACTCGGGCCACCACAAGCCCCCTGACAGGAGTGCTGTCAAACTGGCCACACCCACCTGGCCACGCCCCCCCCCCGAGGTCAAACACAACCCTGATGCAGCCCTCAATGAAATTAAGTTTGACACCCCTACTATAAGTTCAACATCTATTATCAAACCAAGGGTACCAAGACTTAACAAAACATTTTTTTAAGGATAACACCTTGAATATCTGGTCTGACTATCCCAATATAATTTCCCAATCACCACCTCCAGTAGGATTTAACACTGAATTCCTGTGTCCTAACACCTAAAACCACAGCAAATTTGTAGCTGGTCTAGTGGTTAAGACACTAGGCCAGAAATTGGAAGACCATGAGTTCAAGTCCCATATTAGCCATGAAAGCCAGCTAGGTGACTTTGGGCCAGTCACTTTCTTTCAGCCCAACGCACCTCACAAGATTGTTTGGGAAAAAAGGAGGAAGGAATACCGTGTGGGTTCCTCCCCTTGAGTTATTTATAAAAATAATAAAGGCAGTTTACTAACAAACAAACAAATAATCAAGCAAGCCAAGTCAATGATTTTCATGTTTTGGAATATATCACTCATATATTTGTTCTTAAAAAGCTCAAAGCAATGATTTCCCGATCCCATTCAAGCATATATTTTATGTTCAGCTAGGAAAATTACAACCCTTTTAAGTATCAAAAACAGATATTCCATCTGGGAACAATACATATTCAGCCATCTCCACCCTACAGTTAGTGAGTAAAATGCAAATTTATACCAAAGATCTTTTTAATTAGAAAGTCTAAAGATTGCATCCTAGGACTGAATACAAGCAAAGCTAGTTTTCTGCCACGAAGTCATGGCATAGCCAGCCCTAAGAGGAGGAAAAATAAAAAACTGAACACTAGATCTACCTATTCCATAATGCCTACTTTATGCCTCTGATTTGTTCTGCATCTGAGATGCAGCAGGTGAGACCCCATCCTATCCCCATATTGTTTATTTATTTATTTATTTTTGTCAATTGCTTACAAGATAATAGGTATAAGTAAAAACATAGTTATGAATACATGGATACATATAAGAAAAAAAAAGAAACAATAGGACAGGGACGGTAGACACGTTGGTGCGCTTATGCACGCCCCCTACAGACCTCTTAGGAAAGGGGTGAAGTCAATAGTAGAGAGTCTAAGTTTAAGTTTTTGGGGTTTGGGGAAGAAACCACAGAGTCAGGTAGAGTATTCCAGACACTGACCACTCTGTTGCTGAAGTCATATTTCCTGCAATCAAGTTTGGTGCGATTAACCTTGAGTTTGTATCTATTGTTTGCTCTTGTGTTGTTATGGTTGAAGCTATAGTATTCATTGACAGTAAGGACATTGCAATGTATGATTTTATATACTATACTTAGATCGGACCGAAGGCGGCGTAGTTCTAGGTTTTCTAGGTCTAGAATTTTGAGTCTGGTGGCATAAGGTATTCTGCAACGAGTAGAGGAATGGAGAACTCTTCTTGTGAAATATTTCTGGACTATCTCAACTGTGTTAATATCAGATACGTAATGTGGGTTCCAGACTGATGAGCTGTATTCGAGTATTGGTCTAGCAAATGTTTTGTATGCTCTAGTTAGTAGTGTAATATTACCAGAGAAAAAGCTACGTAAGATTAGGTTAACAACTCTTAACGCCTTTTTGGCTATGTAGTTACAGTGGGCTCTAGCACTTAGGTCATTAGAGATGAGTACTCCAAGATCCTTTACAGAGCTTGGATCATCAACAAGGTCTTGACTATTCAGCCTGTATTTTATTTCCTGATTTTTTTGCCAATATGTACGACAGAGCATTTATTTGTTGAGATTTGAAGTTGCCATTTGTTTGACCATTCTGATACATAGTCAAGGTCTTTTTGAAGGGTAGCAGAATTGTCTGTGGTGTTGAATAGTTTTACATCATCAGCGAAGAGAACGCAGTTGCTCTTGATGTGATCAGAGGTCATTTATGTAGAGTATGAAGAGAGTTGGTCCTAGAACACTGCCTTGGGGGACACCACTGTTGACAGGTACAGAATTTGATAGGACGCTCCCAATTTTGACCATTTGTTGTCTGTTTGACAGGAATGCTTCTATCCAGTTATGCAGTTGTCCAGAGATACCGTAAAATTTTAGTTTTAGGAGTAGTTTGTCATGTACCACTGAATCAAAGGCTTTACAGAAGTCTATGTAGATTGCGTCTATTGCTTTGCCCTGATCGAGTTGTGTAGTCCATATGTTTTTGCAGTATAAGAGTTGCAGATTACATGATAGTTCTTTCCTGAAAGCAAATTGTTTATTTGAGAGTAGGTTGTTTGTTTCTAAGTGGAGGATAATGGATTGGTTAATAATTGATTCCATGACTTTACAGGTGACGCAGCATAAAGAGATTGGTCTGTAATTTTCAACTAGGCTGGGGTCTCCCTTTTTGAAGATGGGGATGACCGTGGCTTGTGACCATAGTTTTGGCAAGGAGCTGGTCCTGAAAGATTTTTCAAAGATTATGCTTAGAAGTTCGGCTATGGCAGTGGATAGCTTTTTTAAGAAGTAGGCACATATTCCGTCCAATAGATAGAGATGGTTTTAGATTGTGTAGTGTTTTTTCAACATTGTCTTCTGTAAAATCGATATGTATTAGATCATTGTGGTTGTCTGTGGATCGACTAGGAAATACTGGGCATGATCCATTGCTGTTTACAAATACTGAGCCAAAGAATGTGTTAAAGAGGTTGTCTTTAATAGTGTCATTGCAGTCTTTACCATTAGGTCCTTTCAGGGGTGGGATGGACCTTGAGTCTTTTAGTTTGTTGTTTACAAAATTGTAGAAAGCGCGGGTGGAATTGGTGCGTAGAAGGTTTTCTTCTTGTTTAATGTGATAATTGGTGCATTCATTTTTTATCTGGTGGCATAAATTTTTGTATTGGCTTTTGAAGTTGGCAACGTGACCAGATTTGTTTTTCTGCCAAAGTGATTTCTTTTTGGATTGAAGCTTCCTTACTGTTATGGGTATTTGTCTTTTCTGGTTTTGGGAGTTGTTAATTGGTACATATAGTTTGATGACTCTTTTGACTTCAAGTAAAAATATGTTGTAATGGTCTTCTACAGTATTGCATCTAGAGAACAGAAATTGCCAATCAAGGGATGAGAGATCATTGTTTATAAGATCATAGTTGCCTTTTTTGAAGTTATAATTGGGGATCCCGTTGTTGTGATGATTTTTGTGTGGACGTATGTTGAGACAAAAGTCAATCATGTTGTGGTCACTGTTGGAAAAGGGTTCTTTAATTTGTATTCCGTAAATTGAATTCAAACTATTACAGAAGATGAAATCGAGGCAGTTGTTAAGTCTAGTGTTGTTGGTTACTAGTTGTTCTAGTCCCAGATTTGTTACTGCATTGTAGAAGTTTGCATGTGTGGGTTCAGTTGTACATTCGTTAAGGGTCCAGTTAATATGAGGTAGATTGAAGTCACCAAGAAAGATAAAAGCGTGTGGGCAGGATGCTGTCCACGTTAGTAGTGTTATAACTTGTTTGCATGTTCGATGTCATAATCAGGGGTTCTGTGACATTGTAAGAACCAAAATGTGATATTTAAGGACAGTTCACAAACGATGGTCTCAGGAATAGCAAGCTCCTGGATAACTTGGATGTTTTTTAGATGTAGGGACTTTTTATAGAAGATAGTGACACCACCTCCTCTACGGATTTCACAATCTGATCGGTAAACATGATAGTCTCTTACTGTGGTAATGGAGTCAGGGAGAGATGCGTTGAGCCATGTTTCACAGACAAATATAATGTCGAATTTAGCCATATTTAGTAAGAGGAGAAATTCAGGTATTTTATTTACAAGGCTTCTTGCATTGAGTAGCTTGCATTTAAGGCCAGTTCTGGTTGGAATAAGGTACTTAGGGGCGTGCATGCCTAGTTTTGAGTGATGTTGGATTGGATGGGGTGGGGTTGGATGCGGAGTTGTGGGTTGTGTGACTTTCTTTTGATGCAATCAGCTCTGTAGTCAATGTATAGGTCCTTTTCTCCATTGTCTAGACGGTTTTTGAGTTCTTCGCGGAGTTCACGGGAGCGGATTCTTTGCAGTATGGATAAGTATTGTATTTCAGTACATGCCTGTTTAGCTCTTTGTACATAAAATTGGGGGGGGGGGGGGAGAGATTTTTCACTCAGGCTCCATAATGGCTTGAACCAATTCTGACTACAGTTTGCCATTTAAATATCTTTCATTACTGCATCAGCTTAAGATGGGCAAAACATTCTAAGAGATCTATATACAATTTGAATATAGAATCATGGTTTTCATGCAAAATGTTAAGTCTTAAACAATTTAATAACATTAGATTTTTATTTCCAAGAGGGAGAGAAGTCAGTCTATTAACAACCAACCAACCAAAGGAATACAAAGATAAATAATTGATAGTTCCTGATCTCAGACTTATGAACAAAAAGACATAGCATAAGAGGAAAATATGGAGAAGATGAAAATAATACAGTATACTCAGGCATTAATTCTTAGCAATATCACTTAGACCTATATACTGCTTCACAGTGCTTTACAGCCCCTCTCTAAGCGGTTTGCAGATTGCCCCCAACAATCTGGGTCCTCATTTTACCCACCTCAGAAGGATGAAAGGCTGAGTCAACCTTGAGCCTAGTGAGATTCAAACTGGTGAATTGTAGGCAGC